CTTAAATCAATCTTAACACTAAGATAACTGAATTCTTTTACACACTTGAATCTCAACATCTGAGAAAAGATTTTTTTTTCTTCTTCTTAACATTCTTGCTAAACAAAATAATGGATTTATCCAAATTTAGCATCTGCCCAGAACAACCATAATAATCTTTTATAATTTCCTTCACCATTTTTACACATCTTTTATTGGCTTCAGAAAATAACAAAATGTCATGTGCATATAACATATCAGAGATCTTATGTGCCTAAGGAGCAATTTTGATTCCATGACCACCACCTCTTTGATAGAAGGCATATGATAGTAATTGAGGAGCACAAAATAAATAAATAAGAAGACAAAGGACATCCATGTCTAAATCCACTCCTTGCTTCAATCCAATTAGAATTAGAACCATTAACCATAATAGAGAACCTTCGATTCATCTAACACTCCATTATAAGATTAGATTTTTTTTTTTGGAAATTTGAGAAACCCAAAAACTTAATTTAGGGTAGACTAATGCATAATATCCTACACTTATTCCATATCAATTTTAACAGCTAAGAACCCCTCTTTCGATTTCAAATATCTAAATTTATGGAACAAATCCTGAGCAAGTAAAATATGATCTGACAAAGAACAACCTTAACAAATACCACTGGATCTTCAATTATAATCTTAGGAAGAAAAACTGACTTTCTATTCAAAAACATGTTAAGCACGGTCATGTATATAGTCATGCAAGGGCTGATAGGCCTATAATTAGAAGGAATCAAAGGATTTTGAACTTTAGGAATAAGGACAATAAGATGCCATTCCAATCTTTGCACATTTTCCCAGTAGAGAAAAGTAATTGATAGCCTTCCAAAAATCATCCTCAGTAATGCTCCAATAAACTTTTTAAAAAATGAATAAGTGATACCATCATTCCCTGGTGATTTGAATTTTCCCAAATTCTTAACCACATGTACTAGTTCCTCCTCAAAAAATCAGTGTCCAATAAAGATCTATCATCATCATCAAGCACATTCAATGGAGAAGGCCATCCCTGAAGAATACTATCGTTATTCCTCCATTTATCTTTGAAGAAAATTAAAAAAAAAACACCTTTAATCTCATCTTGATTTCTAACCATTTTACCATTGCAATCTTTAATATGGCTAATCCAATTTCCATTCCTCCTGGTGCTAGAAAACACATGAAAAAACTAGGAAATATTATCTTCCTCCTCCATCCATTTCACTTTATCCCTTTGTCTCCATCATATATTCATATGGGCTAACGTAGCATTCAACTAATTCACTTTTGCTCTAAGTAAGATCAATTTATCTTCACTTAACCCATTATAAGAAGATTACTCCATTTGCAATTCAAAAATATCATTTTTAAGAAATTCCTTCAACTTCATAAGATCCTTGAGTTTTGATCTACTCCAAAATAATAAAGCTTTCAAAGACCTTTTAAGTTTTAAGTTAAGAATTTGAGCATCATCACCAACAACCTTTTTCTTCCAAGATTTCATAACAACTGCTGAAGAAGCTCAAAAAAGCCCATACGTCTTCAATTCTAATTATATTCCTCCGGTGGGATTTAAAATGCATACTATCCAACATGATTGGACAGTGATCTAAAGCAACTCTATGCAAATGCCTCAAATGGGCAAGTTGAACTTCAGTAATAGCAGTGGAGTTTAATAAGCATCTATCAAATCTCTTCATAATATAAGCTCCCCCTCCTTATTATTACACAAACTAAACTTTGGACCACAAAACTAACATCATGATAATCATTATTAGCCATGAACAACTTAATTTCCTGAGAACCTTGAAAAAAAAAACTTTTTCCCTCCTCTCTTATCCTCATTAGATAATAAACCATTTAAATCACCTCCCACACCAAAGGAATATCTTTAGAAGAATATAGATCAAGTTTATTCCACATATTCCTCCTATTATAAATATTATGGCTCCCATAAATAGTAGTAATCTACTAACATCCTTTATTAAACATACTAACCTCACCAATAACAAACTGAGAATCAGCTTCAATCAATGAAAAAGACATAATATTTTCTCTCCAAATAACCAAAATACCTCTTAAAAACCCATCAGAAGGAAACAAATAGAAATCCCACTCCAGACCAATGAATTTAGTACATTCCACTCTAATGAAAGAGGATAACTTAGTTTCCACTAATCCCATAAAAAACACATCAAACTCCTTCACAAATTCTTTTAAATAGTGAGAAGCCTCATTTTTTTTGCCCCTCTACAATTCCAAAATACTATGGACATCATGATTAAGAAGAAGGAAAAAGATCACCACTCCTTCCTTTATTCAGAAAATCAAATTTTCTATTTCGAGGGAGGATTTTGATGGGCCCTAAAGCCTTAAGCTCATTACTAAATCTTTGTTTACCAATTTTAGAATTTACAACAAAATTTGCAACCACCATACCATCACAAGAATTATAGAATTATTCACAATAATAGGAAAGGCTTCAGATATTAATCCCGTAGTAGAATTAACTTTTAGAGGTTCCTCAACACTCTCTAACTCATACATAATTCCATTTAGTGCATCAAACTTATTATCAATAATAGGGATACAACAGGGTTAATATTCATACCCGAATCCACCTTCAAGGAAGCTTGAGGTTGATAATCCAATTTTAGCTTGGAATTTTCCAGAGATATGTTAGTAATTGCATTTATAACTTTCACCACCGAATCTAATTGATGCTCCATCATATTTTCATTTAACATATTATATCTGATCTGATTAACATTCTTAGAATTGGTCTTCACAACATCATATTCACTAGTAATCTTCCCAAAAAATATAGAACCAGAATTTTGTAACTTTTTTTAATTATCTTCTTCACCAACTGACTTTTTATATCTAGTATCAGCAGGAATTGTTTTTTGAACTTTACCTCTAGAAGGTTTAAATGTTAACCCTCTAAAATTATTCTTTTTATAATTAACGTGGACCCAAGGACCAACTTTGAATTCTCATCACCACCGGCTTGAATTTCACCTTCAGAAATAGATTTTCCAGGTTTAACATGTTCTACTTAAGCACCCAACTTTTTATCTTTTGAACCATACACCAAACATACATCATCCTTATGCCCAATTTGTCCACAATTGAAGCAAAACATAGATATTTTTTCATTTTCAAATTTCTGAAAGATTCTTGATATAAGAATTAATAAAGGGCATATGTTTGTTGCAGATTTAGTAGATATTAGAAATTGTGTAAATAAGTTGTATAGTGGATGGGATATGGAATGAGGTTCAACTGAAAAATCTTTTTGGAGAACAATTGGTTAATCTTATTCAGCAAATTCAAAATTTTCCTCATTTATTGACCAATCAGTTGGAGCTTAAAATGAAGATATATGGAAATCAATTACTGCTTTGGCTTTTGATGCTTCATTGGAACAAAAGGAAGAAGATAATTACTGGAACTAAATAAATAAACTAAAGCTAAAACCTCATGTGGATTTATTCTTGTGGAGTTTACTTAGAAATGCAATTCCATCTAATGATTTTCTTATGTATAGAAGATTGTAGGATAATAATGTTTGTCCTAGAGGTTGTCAATCAGTGGAAACGTTGGAGCATGTAGTAGTTGAATGTTTGAAGGCTTATTGAAGTTACAGAGTATCTTAATAAATGAGGATTTCATGTTCATATTTTCTCTTGAGTTGCTTAATGTTGAAGTGCTTGAAAAGGTTAGCTATTGATAATCCTTTTATCTCAAATATGTATTGTACATTTATTTTATTTTCTTAGAAGAGTAGAAATAAAGTTAAACATGAAAGTATTGAAGATAATTTGGTTGAAATAGCTGCTAATGTAATTAGTTTTGCTGCTAATACATCCCAAATCTTTTTCATTTGGGAAAACTTGGGTGTTATTCAGCCCTCACAGTTGTATAACAATTTTTGGTACCCTCCTCTTGAAGAGATTAAAGTTAATATTGATGTATATTTGTTAAGATCTTATAAAGTAGGAATTGGAGGAGTTTTGTGAGATCATAAAGGTAGATTCTTGTTGGCATTTGGTTTCAGTTGCTTACATTGGAATCCAACTTAATTGGACATGTTGGCTATTGGTTCATTGAAGGAAGTTATGCAAGAATGAATGTTTGAAGCTAAAGGAATTATTATTGAAGGTGATAATTATAATATTATCAAGCTACTTCAACTTTTTATGGAAAAAAGCTAATTGGAAGAATGAAGATATGTGGATGAAGGAGTTATCCTTTTTAAAGGAGTTCAATCATATTTAATTTCTTTTTACTAATAGAAGTTATAATAAGTTAGCTAATTTGTGTGCTAACAATGCTATTTTTAGTTATTTTTATTGGAATAATGTAAGTTGTAATAAGACTACTTTATTTCTTTGTTAAAGGAGGAATGTGATAGATTTTCTATCATTTAGTAGTTTGTATTATATTTCTTTTATTAATGCATTTTGTAAGTTTCAAAAAAATAAAAAGGCATTTAGTAAAGTGATAGATTTTTTAATTCCTAGAATATAGTTTTTTATTTGAGAACTAATGAATATAACACAATAAATTTTCTCCCAATATTGACATATCTATGTGGGTTAATTTTTAAACTTAAAAAAAAAATAAAGCTTACATGCACGTTACATTCATAAATGATAGGATAAATTTCTTCTTTAAAAAAAAAATCCATTGATTCCTAAAGTAGACTTATTTTAGATGAAAATAAACTGGATTTACATACATACCACTTTATATCATATTATTTAAATATCTTACATCTAAAATATTAATATTTTTTGTCTAACATCCATAAAACAAATATGAGTGCAAGAAATTAAATATTAAAGTTTAGATGATGCTATAGGTGATTGAAATGAAATATATTGATGATATATTTGAAATTAAAATTGTATATAAATGATAGACATAAAAATAAAATTTTTAAATATTATATGGATAAATCAAAGTTATAAAGTACTATATATGTAAATAAAAATAAAAAAAATCTACGGAGTGGAAGAACCTGTAAGCAGGGTATTCTCATGTCGCACTTTATGCTCAAGAAGTAAGAAGAGATGAGACTGGCGTCGGCTCATTCCAGCTACGTCTCCTTCGGGCTCAATCGTCCGAATGCCCCCAATGTGTTTGATCATATTCCTCTTAGAGCAGGATCACTCGCCGTATCCTTCACCGGTGCCGCCGGGATGCGGAGCGCCGGCGCCGCCTTCTCAAATCGCTCAGGTACAAAGAAACTCTCTCGTCCCTTTCTCGATGTCAGGGTTCTTATCCTTTGTTAAGCTGGTAAAGCTCATATTTTTGTTACCAAGATTCTTTCTTCTCTTGCTGTCATCAATGGATGTTCGTTGCTTCTGATTAACTAAGTGCTCCAGTGGTCTTTGACTTGTGTATTTATTTTCAATATACCATAATCAAATTTTGGGCTTTTGTTGATTCATTGACACCCTAGATTGAAACGGCTAACAGTGGCATCCTTTATGGCCCTCTTTTGTGTTCTTGTGTTCAATTTACCTCATTATTGCTGGGGTTTTAAAATTGATGTTATGTTTTAAAAATATAGAAATTGACGCTCGTGAACTCTATTCTTGGTTAACAGTTCCAGGTTAGTGCGAGCTATGGGCTTGTCTGTTGGTGAAGATTTGGTCATTTGCTTAGATTATTAGATCCTTTGGAGAAATTATTAGTTTCACACAAAAGTTGCTTTTCCATTATACTTTTGGTTTATTAGCAAAATTGAGGAGGCTTATTATAAGATATTTGTGCCCATTTCACTGATAAGATATATAATTGATTATTTGGCATATATGATGAAAATTGGCTCAAGAAGAATTGTGCTGTATGGGATGTCCTTTTGAGGACATAATACTTGGAGTAATCAAAGGAATATTATTGTTGTAATATTGTTTCTGGCTTTAACTTCCCCCTAAAAACTCATTTTTTTAATTAGGCCGTGAATTACCATACATTTTTTCTTTCATTCTTCAATTTGTCCAGGTATTATTAGCTTCATTCAGGACTAACTTAAGCACCTGAATACAGGAGAGACTAAGAAGTAATGCTTTAGATGAGTGGATTGTGATTGAAACTGAACTACGATAGAACTTTCAATTTTGAATCATGAACTAAAGTCCTATATTAAAATACATAAATATCTGACCAAGCGTTTGAAGTTGTTAAATTACAAGTTACAAATAATGGAATCATGCATAAATTTTTTATTACCATCAAAATTTTGCATTGAAGCATCATTTCACAATTGAATACAAATTTTTTACTCATTTAAAATTAAACTCGGTAAATTTGGCTTTCTACTTAATGAAGCTTCACCTTTCAATACAATTTATCTGACTAGCATAAATATTCACCGTTTGGTCATTTACTGAAGGTAAAGAGAGGCGGTATGTTGGGCATTGTGCAAATTTTTAGAGAGTGGGTATTGATTTACAATATGCTGCAAAATGATGGCCAACTTGGGCCTGATTACTTTTTATTTCTATTTTCCTTTAAAATATTTTCTCTTGTCATCTCACCTGCATGGTATTGTACTTTTATGATGAAAGGAGTCTTGTGAAACATCTTTTCTGCGTGGGACTAATCACCTGCTGAGATTTAAGAGAATTGTCAAGGGCCGGTATGCATAGTCTTTTTTCGAAAGGAATTAGTTCAAGGGAACTTTGTGGCAAAATTGTTTGCTTGATATATGAAAGCAATGTTTCAAGCAGAAAGCTTTTTAATTATTTAGTTTGAAACAATTTAGGGGATATTAATCTATTATTTTCATAATAAATATGCTTTTAGATTTTGCAAATATTTATCTTTTGTGTATTATTGAAAGTTCATACTTCATAGTAGTTTAGGTATCCTAAAAAACATAAAAAATTTGTATTTTAGGTATCCTTTCAATTGCATATTGGTCCACACTTTTTTATGATGTTACAAAGGGGTCACTGACTTCTAATAATTTATGATTTGCGTTTCATTAACAACTTGTCTATTAGCCCATATGAAATTATTAAAATGAAATTAAATCATATATTTTTCTTCATCTTCATCTCTACTTTTCCTTGCCTCTTTACCAACCCTCTCTTTGATCTTTGCTGAGTAGAAATTGTGTTACTATTTATTGTATAAAATTCTAGTGAAAATGTAGGAAAATCTTTGAAAAAAGTCGAGAAATTGCGAAGTCTGTACAAGCATCACAAAGCCTTGAACAACCAAGACGTAGCACCTTAAATGCCTTGGTGCCAGAATAGAGCACTACTGCACCTAATGTTCTGTCATTTTGCACTTTCATTCAGCATCACAATGTCATGTCGTCAAGCACCTCAGTGACATATATGGTACACCGTTGTGCCTTGAGTTATGTCATTTTGCAAAGAGACCAATGCCCCGGTGCTTGTCACTGGAACCCAGCACCAAATCGCCTAACTGAGCGCCACAACTCCCTAACTTTATCGACATTGCAGTGCTAAGGTAGCACCACAATGCCAAATTATCTATAATGTCGCGGCTTTGCAGTTAGAACTGTTTACTATTGAAGCATTGCATCTATTCAACCCAGGGCCGCGACAGAACCAAATATAGTGTGCCGAGGTGCTGGTTCATCATTCTAACATCCTAGTGCCACCCTTTCGAGTGCCGTGGCGCCTAAGTTAGTTTATGTGTACTAAATAAAAATAGTTTTTTTTTTTCGTTTTGTGGAAGGCTAGTCAGTTGCTGGTTATCTTTTATCTTAAAAAAATAGTAAAGGAGTGAGAGTTTAGAGTGGATAGTGAACATGCTTAATAAAATTCAATCCAAAAAGTATCCATTCTTTATAATTGATTGTAAAATGTTCCTCGTGATATTTTCTCCACCTAAATTCTTATAACTTTTTATGATGTTTGTAATGGAATATGCTTTGAGGGAAATTCTATAGCTAGCTAATTTTTTTGTTTAGACTTATGATGTGAATGAAGCAAATTTTTGTCTTAGTAGACTGTTTCATAAACTATTTTATTATTATTTTCAATCAATCCTGCATTTTATTTAATTCATACGATGACTATATTTGAAGTCAAAATCTAGTTTGATTCATTGCCTCAATGGAGGAATGATGGAACAAATAGGAGGGTTGGAATAAAAAACATTCATATCTAGACATAGGATAAAAGGATGCTAGGGTATATGGAGATAAAATCATTGTAGTAAAGTGAAAACCTTACTTTATACTCTTATAATCTCAACAGCAAGGTTTAAAATTGCGTAAGTAAGCCTCGAGACATTTTTTGTTCGTGAGGCGAGGCGCAAGCCTCGAGGCGGTCCGAGGCGTAAGCCTCACGGACGAAGAATTGCGTAAATGAGAAATTAAGGATTTTAACAAGTAAATAATAGTAAGAGTCTATCATAAAATAAAAACATCTAAATGATAAGTGAAATTAGTGGAAAACAATAAAATAGATGCAATATATGCATCTCATAGCATAATTCAAAGTATTGAACCATAAAATATAAGTTTATCAAAACTCCCAAAGTACAAATAAGAAAGAATATATAAAATCCAATAATGTCCCATTACTAAATGGGTCTTCAAGAGAATTTTCTTCTCCACCTGTATCTATGAATATCATATCTTAAGCATCTTCAATGTTATCCTTTTTTCTCTTTCCTATTTAATAAGAATGATTATTGTTATGTTAATTGTGTGTGTGTGTGTGTATATATATATATATATAATAGCACATAAGAAATTGTGAGATACCTTTATTTACTTGTTGTGTTACAGAACTAATGGATGTGTGTGGTGTGGTACTAGTGGATGTGTCCACTTGATCTGCTTCGCCTCTCAAGACATCCACATTTAGATCCTCTAGCTACAGGTCTGATAATGAAAAATTTGTCTCATCATCTATGAACCACTCATTATCAGATGCCATATCATCACATACCAAAGGGTCCTCGTTAACCTTCAACCCTTTGTTCCTTAACCTTCTCTCTCAACCTCTTGTTGTGCATAATATACACAAGGGAGTTCATTCTGAAAGTTAAAAGTCGATTTCTTCTCTTCGTTTGCACTTGACTATATATACTCCAGTTTCACTCACACTTAGAGGAAAGTGGGGTCCAAAACTCTAACTGCAAAGCTCTGTAATTCAGGAGTAAAATCACAAAATTGGATCCACCATTCAATTATTTTCAAGAAGAAAAATGATAATTAGAATATATTAAAGTGTTATGCATGTACAGATACTTTACAACATGGTTTAAAATTGCGCAATAAGAGGTGTGCCTTAGCTTAATTTCTCCCCTTTAAGGCTCAAAGCCTACACAATGTGTTCAGGATTTGAGGCGTACGCCTCAAGTTTACTGAGGCACGCCTAGCCTCACGGTTGAGAGGCGTCTGCCTCTAAAAATTAAAAAAGCTAACATAATATATATTTGTTTAGTTCGGACCCCCCAACCCCCATGCGGTCTTCCGTCATTTCCCGAAAACAGGTTTTCTCCCTTCTTCGAGCGACTTTTTTTCTTCGTTCGGCGTCGGCTTCCTTCCACATTGAGTTGCTCTTCACTTATTGCTTGGAGTTATCTTCAACCGCGAGGTGGGTTGGAGTTATCTTCTACTACGACTTTTTCCCTCTTTGTTTGGCATTCGCTTCCTTTCACATTGAGACCGCTATGTATATACTCGGTACCACTCGGTACAACAATGTTTGGTACCACTAGGTACATGCTCGGTACCGCCAATACCGCTTGGTACTGCTCGGTACCTAGCTGGTATATGCTCGGTATCGAGCGGTACATGCTCGATATATGCTCGGTACCGAGCGGCACATGCTTGGTATATGCTCGGTACTGCTCGATACATGCTCAGTACCGCTCGAAATCTTTTCATACAAATAACTTACGAACTTTAAAAATAAACAGAACTTCAAAATTACTCTTACAATAAAATTTTGTTTCGGGGGCGTCGAACCCCGCCAGGGGGTAGCGCCCCCTTGGACCCCCAACAGACCGGTATATAGTTATATTCATCATCTTTAGTATTAGTTGTTAGTGTTAGTCTGCTTCTTTATAAGTGCATGCTTGTATAAGTTTTCTTAATATAGAATAAGTGAAATACTATATTTAGGGGTTTGATATATTGCACTAATATATTCTTCTCATAAAGAATGGTCAGAAGTAAGGATAAAGCTGCGTTAGGTCATAGAAAAGATCTAGTATGAAAATATAGCACTAAGGTGGAT